TACTAATCACTTAATTTGGTATTAATGCTAATCACTGCATTGGGTGTATTAATGCTAATCACTGAATTGGGTGTATTAATGCAAATCACTGAATCAGCTATTGTTCTCTTCTTCACAGAAATTGCAGCTGGTGAGTGAGGACAGCAAAGTGATAAACAGTGTGCTGGAGGGAGACATCAGTGTTATGTCTGGAACTGTTATCCAGCACTGTTGCCTGCAGGTCAGTGGAACTGCTCTACCCAGTCCACTCTAAAATCTTTTTCTTAATGACCTGCACTGTAAATCAGTCTTGACCTCGAGACTCTCCTCCTGTCTTTCAGGGGCCTATGGTAATACCATCTGGCTGTTTTCTGTCCGGCTTAGACTTCACCTCCTCAGCCTTGTGCCAGTCGCTGCCGAGTGACATCATCATCCAGAGACACCGAGTACAACTGGGAGACCTGAAACTTATTGTCTTCACTGTACTGGGAAGGCATGATGACCTGGAGGTAGCAGCATTGTCTGGTGGTTATGAGATCTGCTGTGCACATACCCGGGCAATATCTCACATACCCGGGCAATATCTCACATACCCGGGCAATATCTCACATACCCGGGCAATATCTCACTGTTTTGCTCTTCTTAATGTACCTCTAGTTCTCCAGTTATGGTTGCCCTTTTATGACTTGGCACCACCATCAAATTTTTTCTTTATGCAAAATCCCTTGTGTAAAATATTGTGCTATATTATGGGTGATATATTGATAAATCATCATATCATAATTATGAGCATTCATATTATCATCATTTTGAATATTGTGACTATCATGATATAGCCCAACCACTTACTCTTTTGCATAGTTAACAGTTATAATGCACTATTATCACATGAATACCACCAAGGTATGAGTCTTTTATTGGGGTAATTTGTCAGTATTCCTGTCACGCTCCATAACTATAAGTAAAACAATTTGGTCATCGTAAACCGAAAAACTCACAACTATATATCATGTTTTACTGAATTCTGCATATGACTTTTAGAATATTGTGGTAAATATCAATATTGTGAAAATATTGTGGTATCGTTTTTAGGGCCTATAGCCCAGCCCTAGTCAAATACGCTCCCTGGACCAAACAGCGAGGCAGTCAGAGGAAAAAAAAACCTCAAAACATACTGTCAGCGTTTCCTAGTGTTATGTCCTGTGGCAAAAAAAAATATTTTTGTTATGATTTAATTATTATAATTAGATTTCAGTTTGCAGTTCATGTGTAACCTTTTTCATATTCTGAATCGAAAGCAATTTTAAGCAAAAATGGAACATTGAAGTAAAGAAATAATGACTCGTATTAGATTGTGATAATTATCAGTATCATTTGATATGAAAAAAAAGATTTTGCCATATCGCCCAGCCCTACACTGAATGCTTTTTGACAGTAATGTGTTATACACCTTATTTATGAGCCATGTCCTATCATACACACTGTATCTGATCTCTCTCTGTCCTGTTCCATCTACTCAGGCTTCATGCACTGACCCTGCTGCCACATTCCTGAATGACAAATGGAGCAGCTACTGCAGTCGCACAGGGATACAGTAGGCCTCTGCTTAAGCTTGCCTTCCCTTTCCTCCAAATCTCCAACAAAGAGAAACAAAATAGAACAGTAAAACTTACAAGCACAGATTATGCTTTTTGTAATGGCTATAAAAACTTTTTATTCAAGGTAAGATGGTGAGAAAATGCTAGTGTCTCCATTTGTAATCAGTCTATTTTGTTTTAGGCCAGGAGAGATTTGGGGGACTGCAGATAAGGGAGCAGGACCTCCATGTCTGCTGGATGCCCGCCTTTTCCCCGTCCTCCTGCCTAGCAGGGGTGCTGTGGGGCTGGAAGGGGTGGAATGGCTGCTGGAAGGGGCTGGAAGAGTGAAGGAGTGGAGGGAGGCATGGAAGCTGTCTCTCAGAGAGGTGCTATCCTGCACCGACCAGCAGGAGGAGCTGCACTGGAGACGGGAACTTTTCTTTCAGGCAGCACAGAGAAGAACAGTGGACACTCTGAATGGCAGAACAGAGCAGAGCCTTCTCCCCAGCATCAGGGCAGCAGTTTTAGGGGGGCAGCAGGAGAATCTGCTGCAGGCGTTGGACTTAGGTGAGAAGGAGTGATGACACTTTCTGACAGAGGTAGAGATAAGGAGCATGCACCGATTACAGCGTGTTGCCACACCCACCACATGACGAACCGCCTCAGGGATGAGAGCCCGAGTGTAGCCGTATGCTGGGTGATACCTCAGCACCACACTAGTCTGAATGGAACAGTGCAAGATTTTCCCAGTGGCTGGAGTGACAGTCCTGCCACCAACCCCCAAATTTTCCCTGTAAGTTGGAGGACCTGCTTGCAGGGCTGCATGCAGATTAACATCATACTCAGGATGAAGCAACTGCAGGTTAAGGGCCTTGCTTAAGGGCTCAACGGAGTAGGATCACTCCTGGCATTCACAGAATTCGAACCAGCAACCTTCTGATGACTGGCACAGATCCCTAGCCTCAGGGCCAACGCTCTGCCCATATTTGCTACACATGGGATTAAAATATAATTTTTGTTTATATTTGCTTTTCTGTAATTGAAATGATCCTCCTGTGCTTGTTTTGTCCAGTGGCAGCTGGAAGTAGTGAGGACCTTGGTGTAGCTGCCCGCTGTCTTGCCTGCGTGGCAGATGTGCTGGGCTGTATGGCGGGAGAAGGTCAAGGGGGTCTACGAAGTGGGCCAGCGGCAAATCCTTGCTGGGCCCCAGCCTTTGGTCTTCTGGAGAAAGGGAACCTTTTGGGGGGTGTTAAAGCTCTGGCGGCTGAGAGAAAAAACTGGCTCAACAGGTAAGAGAAGAATCTTATTATTTATTAGTTATTATGCGATATTATGCCAGTGACCAGAATTAACATTGTGTGCATAACTTCTCTCAACAGGCCAGACTTACTTGTGAGGGCAGCAAGGCACTATGAAGGGGCGGGACAAGTACTGCTTCGACAGGCGGTGATGTCAGCACAGCGCTTCGTTACTATTAGCCAGGGTGAGGTACCACCCATTGGGGAGTGGCAGGAGTTTGAGTGTCCTGCACGACTGGATCTTTCAGGTGAGTGTCATGCATGATGAACTTAGAACTTATTTTACTTTTATATTCCCCTTCTGAGACAACAGAATGTTATTTCTTAGATTCTTATATAGATTTTTTTGTATTCTATTTTTCCTTTCATTAGGGGGTTGGACTGACACCCCCCCGATCGCGTTCGAGTGCGGGGGCACTGTGGTGAATGTGGCTGTGACAGTTGATGGAGAACGGCCAATAGGTGCCAGGGCACGCCGCATCAGGGAGCCTCGGCTGCTTCTGGTCAGCACCAGCGGGGGGCAGGACTGCAGGGTTACCACAGAGACTGTGTGCGAGACACTGCGAGACCTGGAGGACCACTGCCAGCCGCAGGCGCCCGGTGAACATGCCCTGCAGCATCTTCAGTGAGCCCAGTCCATTGCGTGTGTTTGCAGCCCGTTTGCTCATGCCCCTTGCTCTCTGTCCTGCAGGCGCACTCCTGAAGGCGGTATGTGTGTGCAGTGGTCTGGTCACACTGTCTACCCAGCAGGCGCTGGTTGATCAGCTGCTGCAGGGCTGTGGAGGGGGCCTGGAGCTGCATAGCTGGTCACTCCTCCCCCATGGCTCTGGGCTGGGTAAGATAGAGAAATAGAGAGGGGGATACAGCAAGTGGGTGAAGTGTAAGGGCTGAGAGCAAAATAGGAAAGAAGGAGCGAGAGCGAGATAGCCGAGACTTTCAGGATGAAAGCTTCCTTCTACTACATCCTTTTCCATCCCAGCATCCTTACTCATCCCTCAGGTACCAGCAGCATCTTGGCCGGGGCAGCGCTGGCTGCTGTGTACAGGTGTATGGGACGCACGGTAGACACAAACTCCCTCATTCATGCCGTTCTGCACCTGGAACAGACCCTGACTACAGGCAAGAGCTGGAGCTTTAATGAAAATTAAGGGTGTTATAGCTAAGATTGTACCACTTATTTCATATAAAAGGGCTAGTTTACTTATTAAGCCATGTGACATTTAACTGCAGCCTCTCTCCATGGGCAGGTGGCGGGTGGCAGGACCAGGTGGGGGGTCTAGTGGGAGGAGTCAAGTTGGCACGCTCCAGTGCCTGCCTACCACTGAAGGTGCAGGTGGAGCAACTGAATCTCACAGAGGACTTTCTGCAGTCCCTGCAACAGCACCTCCTGCTGGTCTACACGGGCAAGACACGCCTGGCCCGCAATCTGCTACAGGTTAACGCTACAGCTGTTCTCTCACATGCCTTGTTTCCACTAATGTGGTGCTGGTGCCAGACTTTTTCCCAATCCAGAACTAGTTCCACGCGTTTCCACTGCAAAAAACTGGCCCTGGGCCAGAAAAAACAGCTCCAGCACGGCAACACAGGAAAGCTAGTCTCAGTATTTGGCACTGTAACATCAGCGAAAGTGGGACAGGCTATCAGTCCAAACCTTCCCCATGCCAGGAAAATTCAATCCATAACCAATATAGTTTGGTCTAATATTGCTGGTGCTGTTAGTGAAACAACTTGCCACCTTATTAGCAGAATAACCTTTACTTTACTTTCACTTGTGCCTACATAATATTTCTGTCCCATTCTTTTTTGAAATGGGTGGAAACACGGGTAACCCACTGGCACCAGCACCGACACCATGTTGGTGGAAACACGGGTAACCCACTGGCACCAGCACCGACACCATGTTGGTGGAAACACGGGTAACCCACTGGCACCAGCACCGACACCATGTTGGTGGAAACACGGGTAACCCACTGGCACCAGCACCGACACCATGTTGGTGGAAACACGGGTAACCCACTGGCACCAGCACCGACACCATGTTGGTGGAAACACGGGTAACCCACTGGCACCAGCACCGACACCATGTTGGTGGAAACACGGGTAACCCACTGGCACCAGCACCGACACCATGTTGGTGGAAACAAGGCAATAGTGAATTGCACAGAAGTCTCTTGGGACTGTCATTTTAGGTATTAACATGCCTAGTGTAAGATAGGGATCTTTTCTTTTTTACAAACCATAATTCACAGACTGATAAGGTATTTAGCCAGCTGAAACGCTGTGAGCTCTGTTGACAGGATGTGGTGCGGCGCTGGTATAGCCGGCTTCCCTCCATCGTGGAGAACATCAGGCAGTTGGCGAGCAGCGCAGAGGAATGTGCCCAGGCGTGCATCGACGGTGAGCAAGGGCGAGCAATATGGCCCCAGATTAGCCCTGACAAATGCCAGATTACCCAAAGGACCCCCCCGCTGTCTCCCTTTCAGGATCCCTCCCCAGGCTGGGCACTTGCGTAAACCGCTACTGGCAGCAGAAGAAGGTGATGGCTGCAGGGTGCGAGCCTGCAGCAGTGCGGCTGATGATGAACGCCCTGCGGCCTCTAGCCCTCGGCCAGAGCCTGGCGGGGGCCGGAGGAGGCGGCTTCCTCTTCCTGCTCACCTCTGAGCCCATGCAGAAGGAGAGAGTGAGGCAGGTGCTTTGCAACACGCAGGTAACCAGTTGGAGGGGGCTGGCTATTGACATGCAGGGTAATGGTGGATTCCTGTCCGTGGTTGAACTTCACCGTCCCATCTTGGTGCTCCAGGGCCTGGGGGATTTCAGCGTTCACTCCGTGGAGGTCGACCTGCGAGGCATCTCATTCCAGAAGCGATACGAGATTGGCCAGCCTGGGGCCGTGTCAGAGGCGGAGGCTGGAAGATCACCGTGACAGTTTGAAGATGCAAGATGATATGCTGACAGCTGTCTGCTGCTTATGGTAATATTTTTTTCTGCTGTTTTACATTTGGGTTAAGTACGCCAAGATTGAAAGATGAAGATTGCAATGCTTCTTGTCATTTAAGTACTTAATCTGAAGTACAACTTTGACCAAATTACTAGACTGCTAATCCATTGTCTCCAAAAATTGTAACATTCTAAATCTAAAATTCTACTTGTGGAATCATGCTGTAACACATATGACTATATGAAATTGTTTTAAGGAAAACTTTGTGTTTTCAGTACAAATACACGGAAATAAACTTTTATAATCAGTTCTGTATTTTATGTACTGAGAAATGCATAAATGTGTATTTTCCTTTCTATTTGCAAAAATTAATTTCCGTAGTTATATTTCAATGGGCAATAAAAGCTGCTGTTTATCAGCTGGTGAGCCGCCCTATTTGCAGCCTGAGATCTCACTTATAAACCAATTCATTTGCTTTTTGTTTCATTGCTGACAGCTTGATTACAGCTCAGGATCATTGGGTGGAAGGAGCAATTGAACTTAATAGTAGCTGGTGAAGACATATCCATGCACTTTATTTCTATCACTGTCATCTGCTTTCATCAAAATATTAGACAGCACAGTCACGCAAATGGGTAACACTTGTATCCTCACACCTCCAGTTCAGGGGATTCGATTCCTGCCCTTGGCTCTTCTGTTTGACTGTGCACCCCATATTTGCTTGGGTTTTCTCCCACAGCCCAAAATTATGTGGTTAGTTGAACTGGTATCTTTACATTGCCCATAATATGTGATTGTATGAATGTGTGTGTGCCCTGTGATGGACTGGCATCCCATCCAGGCAGTCTCTGCCCTGTACCCTGTGTTGGCCTGGCATTCTATCCAGGGAGTCCCTGCCCTGTGCTCTGTGATGGACTGGCATCCCATCCAGGCAGTCCCTGCCCTGTACCCTGTGTTGGCCTGGCATTCTATCCAGGGAGTCCCTGCCCTGTGCCCTGTGATGGACTGGCATTCTATCCAGGGAGTCCCTGCCCTGTACCCTGTGTTGGCCTGGCATTCTATCCAGGGAGTCCCTGCCCTGTTCCCTATGAAGGACTGGAATCCCATCCAGGGAGTCCCTGCCCTGTTCCCTGTGAAGGACTGGAATCCCATCCAGGGAGTCCCTGCCCTGTTCCCTGTGAAGGACTGGCATCCTATCTGGGGAGTCCCTGCCCTGTGCCCTGTGTTGGCCTGGCATCCCATCCAGGGAGTCCCTGCCTTGTACCCTGTGACGGACTGGCATCCCATCCAGGGAGTCCCTGCCTTGTACCCTGTGATGGACTGGCATCCCATCCAGGGAGTCCCTGCCTTGTGCCCTATGCTTCCTTGTGATAGGCTTCAGGCTCACCAAGACCCTGAATTGGATAATCAGGTGTGGAAAGTGCATAGATGGATATATTAATGAATGCAGGTGCAATAAAAAAAGCCATAGTGGAAGAGCTGCAGAACGACACCCCGCAAGGGAGCCATGGGACCAGCCTATTATTGTAAAGGTTGTGATGTATCAGCTGTGGGAAACCATGTTTACACTTTTTTTTGTGAAATTGTAAGTCTGAAGTTGTCATGGTGAGGCACAGGCCCAGTACACAGGAAACTGACGTAACCCAGTGGTGAGTTTTCCTGCCTTCTTTCAAAATGACACTGAGGCCTCTCTGAATCACACTTATCTCCTGCCTGCGTGCCATTTATGTTCGACATGAAGTCACGTCCTTTTGGCCCCCACACTTTGCCGAGTCGTCAGTGTTTAGAAGCAGGAATATACTCCCACACCGATGTGCTGCACCGCTTCCATAGCAGTCAGTTTCAAGGCCGATGGTTTTTACCTCCTTATATGAAATGTAAGAGTTTTCCTTTAGTCCAGTGCCTTTGATTTATTTCCTCCACTGTGACCAAAGTCTTGCGTCTCTGGTGCCGGTTTTGGTATCTTCATTGGTTTTGGTATCTCCATTGGTTTTGGTATCTTCATTGAAATATCAGACATACATAGCCTCAGTCGCAGTCCTATAGCTGTAGCCTTTGGACCAACATCACATGTTCACTGCCTCACTGTTAATAGTGCATTAATAGTGCATAAATATGCACCCTGCTAGTACTGCTTTTGTGTCTAGATGTTAATCAATTGAAAAGATGAAAGCGAAATGCTACAGATTAGTCCTGCAGCATATTTCAGTTTCATAAGTGCAGATGTTCTGTTTCCAGATCATTCCTCCTGAAGATGAATACATAATTTTGTGATGTCAGTGTAATAGTAAAAGTGCTCAACTTGTGATCATACAGTTTCAGAGTACCAGGTGCTGAGCAGTCTTGACACAGACCTTTGACATGTATAAGACTAGAGCTCGAATTACTGAAAAAGTCATATCAAAAGAACAATTATTTAAAGAAAATATAATTTTTTTATATTTTAAAAAAAGGTTTTTTAAAATATATCCAAGATAAAACAATGTTACTATTTCTTAAATGGTGCAATGTGAATCTAATACACATGGACATTTGGATGTTCTTAGTGAGAGTATTGCATCAAAGCAGGCCCACACAAAGACATGTTGCCCCTCCCCCCCCCAACCTGAAACTACCCTTCACACACTGGCGGGACCCCCCCCGCTCCCTGTATCTGCCCATCTGCCTCACAGCAATGACTCAGGGCCGCGCCCCTGGAGCACCCCCTGCTGCAGCTGCCGGTCACAGTGCAGGCTGACCTCACAGCGCACCAGCAGACAGTCGTCCTTCACATACTGCCGCTCCTGCAGTGCTTGCAGTGCCATGAAGGTGATGTAGCCGAAGCCCTTGGGATTGCGAGGCAGGACAGGCCGCTGGAAAGCGTAAAGCTCTGGGATGGTCTCCATCACCTCCATGTGGTGGTGATCCTCCGCCTGGTCCAGGATGGCCAGTCGGATGGTGGCCTGCAGTGGCCAGTGGAGCTGGCTGTCAAATTCACCCTGCATGGTGTGCACGAACAAGGAAATATAGTTTGCGCAGCAGGGGGCGCTAGGCGCCTGTAGCTGCAACCGCAGACACAGCTTATATCCTGGCCGGCCAGTGTAGAAGCTGGGGCTGTGGATGACCACGGGTTGACTGGACTCCTGGCTGCGCAGGTGTGCAGAGAATCCCTCCACCTGCCACACGTAGATGCCCCTGCACTGCTGGGCCTCCAGCTCCCGCAGCAGCTCCTCCAGGGAGCGCAGGTGCCTGCGCAGCTCCACCAGTTTGGCAGCCTGCGTATCGTTGCTGATGCTCAGCTCCCTCAGCTGCTGATCTTGCAGCACTAGCCTGCCGTCCAGCTGTTGCACTGTCTCATGCAAGTTCACTCTTTCCTGGAGGCATTTGCAGGCCAGCCCACCTCTGGCTCCGCCTCCGCCATCAGAGGGCCCCCCCAGTGCCCCATTTAGGCTCAGGCTGCGCAGGTAATCTGCCATATAGCGCATGTGCAGCTGAGTGAACTCCTGCATGTGCTGCGCCAGGTTGTTGCGTTGCATCTGTGATTCAAAAGGATAAAATTCAGCACAGTGTCAAGTGGGCTTCACTGTCATGCACCCATATACTGTAAAAGCATAGAGTAGCAAGAGATGCAGCACCCTAAGATAGCAGTGCAATGTATTGTCAAGTGACTAAGACGGATTCACGATAGTGTAAAATGTGTACAACACAGGACAATGCAATACAAGGGGCTACACTGAAGACTGTAAATACCTAGTGCCTAAATGTCTCTAAAAATACAAATAAAGTCACATTCAGAGAGAGACACGCAGGACACACCTTCTCCCGACAGCCGAAGTCCCTGAAGGGGCAGGCGGCTGGAGCCTTCACACAGTCTGTGTCACAGTGCGATGACAGCTGAAGGAAAGGGAGATGTGAAACGTGCCACTCTGGGTCCTTCAGCATCTATATCCTAGAATTTGTGTTTATTTGCTAACATTAGGAAGATCACAAAGGGTTTAACTTAGTGGAAGAGCATAGGAGTACCACAAAACAGCACTGAAGGCTAGGGAGATGCAGATGTTCTTCTCACCTGGTCGCGAATAAGCTCCATACTGCAGTATTCACACGCCACACTGGCCAGGGGGCAGGACTGCTCATGGACCTAGGGACAGACAAGCAGGCATCAGCTAGGTAACAAGGAGACCAAGATGGCTTTATAGAAGCTGTGTGTATTACGTAATAGACAGTAGGATATCATATGAAGGAGGCACCTTTGTCTCCTCGTAAATGAACGTCTGTATACAGTTTGGGCATGAGACCGGGCGTCGTGGACACTGATGTGCCGTGTGGACCTCCAGCTCACTCTTCCGCACTGACTCCCGGCAGAGGGGACACAGGGTCACGGCAAACTGACAGCGCTCATTGTGATCCTGGGCATAAGAGGCAACCAGATGTCAGCATGGAATGCTGAAGGGAACAGAGGCGGGCAGTTCACAACAAAAGAGCGGCCCATTCCCACATCTTACGTCGAGCTGGCGGAGCACCGTCTTGTGGTCACAGCCAGCATTGGGGCACAGCACAGTGAGGGAAAGGATCTCACGCTTTGCAAAGTTGTCTGGGAAGAGCTGGTCCTCCTGCAGAAGTTCATTGTCCACTGGGCACTTCTGGCCCGAATCCCTGAAGGCAGAGACAGAAGCGGACAGGTTGGATGAGTGGCCGGATGTACAGCTGTGCAGGAGTCCCCCCCCCTGCAAAGCAACGTACCGGATGGACTTTTCAATGCAGCTGCGGCAGAAGCGGTGACCACAGGGCGTCTGCACTGCCGCCCGCAGAGCCATCAGGCAGATGGGACACTCGTACTTGCTCTCGAGGGGGGGGTCAAACTCCACGTCATAGCCCTGCTGGTCTGCCTCCCCCAGGAGGCTGCCATTGATACTGCAGGATGTGAGGAGGGTAGCAGAGCTCCTGCTGGGGCTGGAGACAGATGATATCTCCTTTTCCATGGCAGCAGCGCAGCTCCATGGCTCTGCCACAAAGGAGGTGCCCTGCACACCATCGCTGTCATACCCTGATGAAGCATATGTGCTCCTGAGCTTTTGAGTGGTGGTCATAACACTGAAAAACAACACCAACACTGTGGATCAGACACTTTTCTTATAGCTGTTGTCTCATCAGTGGATCATCCCGATTAAAAACACTGTGGGGGAGGGAAGTCCTACTGCTAAGAAAATCCAAATCATTCAAACAGTCTTCGATTTTCAAAACTAGGCTTTATTCATGTGGCCAAGATACTCATTTATTGGATTTACGTGCAAAATTAATTACTTTCTCCCCAGTTAAATGAGTTTACTTGAACGAGCAAAATGTCTACGTTTTCATTTATTCATATTTTCCATGCGCCTAAGGTGCAGTTCAACATTTCCTCTGTCGGGACCAGGAAGAGCACTCATGCAGTACAAGACATGAAGAAATACAACAAAACCAGTCGTTCTTTGAATGTTATAAGTTAGGTTTTGTTATTACATTTTCCTATAACAGATATTCATCTCGCTGAGACCAGAAAATGAGTCGTTCTTACTACAAATACAGTCATCAACGTATAATACGATCCTATTTATAAGTAATGAGTAACTAGGACTGCCATTTCGAAGATAGTCTGAAGCATAGACGATGTTATATGAGGCTTAAGTAAATGATTTTATCTCGCGTACTCCTCAATATTGAGGGCAATAAAGTATCAAAATTAATTTGAGAATACGAAATTCCGCAACATCTGAGTGAAACGAGATAAATGGATAGATAGGTTAGTGTTTTTTTTAGAAACATATCAAGTCATTCTGGGATGACAGCAGTTTGGCCATCAGCAGGCGTTACAAGACGGCATTACGCATATGTGGGAATAAACGGCATTAATTCGTTGCATTCAAGCCTAGGTTCAAACATCTATTACTGGGACACGGATCTGCTTAAAATAGTTCCCCTCATTGGAGAGACTGCATGCGTGATTTAACCCGGAGAAGATCCTACTAAACGCGGAACTTGCCTCTGATCTACAAGTTATTCTTGAGAAGTTATTAAACTGTTCTAGTTGCAATGCCATCCATTTTAAAAATTTGTATCTATTTCAAAATATCATAATATGTCCCTTGTCCCTTTGCTTTTTTCTTACCTTAAATAAGAAGCCGGTTTTGAATTGTGAGTAGCCTACGGTACGTGCTCTTAAAAAGCAGACATGTAGTGCCTTCCAGGAGGTACTGGTTAATGAATCAAGCAGCCGGATACCGCAGTTAGACGTCCTTAAAAAAATCGCTTTCATTTGTCGCTTCGGAGAAGTTATATTACTTCCCACCCACTGTGACATTTTGGTAAGTTGGATGACACATAAAAGAAGTTAACATCATACACGTGGGCCTATAGATGCTGTCTGAGAAGAAACCAGTGAAGCGCGTTTGTCAGTACGCGTGTATCACACATTACTAGACGATTGTACCTTTAATGAAGCATCCAAAAGCACCAAACTTTCCCAGATGGGAATCCCAGACTAACTGCCTTGATATTTAAATGGGTCTTTAGATAGTACGGACCCTTGATTTATGGTGATACAGCACATATAGGCTATATATATATATCCCACCCATTCATCATGACAACATGATTATACGGGGGGGGGGGTGTATTGGTTATTACAACCCACTATAGTTTTAGCCCATGAATAAAGTAGCCTATCCAAATATCTACATTAAATATAAAATTCTTCCGGAACCATTTGTACAGCCCGGGATTATTTAAACAGTCTTGTTTAATTTCTGACAGCCATTTTCCCAATCAATGCAATAACACAAATGATGTTAAAAAAAAAAGAATTCCGGGTTTATCAGATGCAACGGAGGTATTGTTCCTCTCGCACCAAAACAGAAAATTAGCATAGCACACGCATTGCTCAAATAAACATGACGCTTGGTGTACTGGAGGAAAGCAGGGATGCATGTATATGTATATTGCAAAAATAATGTACGACCATGCACTACTTCCCCTTTTCATTAAATAAATTCCAGACTGGTGATCAGCTCATGGACGTAGGATTGAGCATATCGACAATCAAAGTTTCCTTATTTGCTATGCACTCATACACAAACCATTACGAATAATAATTATTATTTTAATGATTATTATTCGTAAAAATATTTACCATATTTAAAAATCTTACTGGTATATTTAGTACAAATATCGACAGTCTTAGTTCACAAAGTACTGGTAACGGTATTAAAATAGCAGTGGGTAGTATGAGCTATATGACTTTAAGCCGGACGCTCAAGTTACGTCACCTGTTTTCGCGATGTGCTGCACGTGCGCAGATGTGACGTCGTCTGGACGAGTTTCTCGGGGATTTTTTTGTTTGGTGGTACGTCGACTGGTTTAGGGAGGATTGTGCTCTTATATATTTACAGTTGTTTACGTTGTTTTTACGTACCCCCAGAATATATCAGTTTAGGAGTATTTCGGGCAAGAAAGAAGAACAGAGCTGTACGATGTGTTAAAAGTAGCCCGTTTGGAGTGACAGCGCTGTGGAGGTGTAGGTATGGGTGTAATTAGGTGTAGGTATGGGATCCTCGCTGATGCAGACGACCAGCTGGTTACTGTGGGATACTGCTTCTCCGCAGTGTATCATATGGACGCTAGTTCCATCCATCTATCCATTTTCCAACCCGCTTATCCTACTGGGTCGCGGGGCGTCCGGAGCCTATCCCGGAAGCAATGGGCACGAGGCAATGGACGCTAGTTTAAACTGCATTTTAACAGCTTATTAATTTTGCAGTTAGCCCTAAAAACCAAGCTAAGGCTGTAGTTTAGGCATATTAATACTACATTATCTTATTATGTAGTTATCGTTTAAAAGTTGCAGCGCTGTGTCCTAGGAAATAGTTTTAGGAAAAAGTGTCATTTTATTCATAACATTTTTTCCAAATATGGAAATGTATCTAACTTTTTTTTTTCTTCTTGTGTATGTTAGTACTTTGGATAAATGTCAGGCAGGCTATTAATTCACATTAATTTCCATATAAAATGTTCTGCAATATGTATTTCTGTTTGAATACAGTACTGTGCAAAAGTCTTAGGCAGTCCAAAGAAATGTTTAAAGCTGTTTATCTGGGTAGCAAGTGTACTTTGGCTTAGAACAAAAAACACAATTTAACATTAGAACATGTGCAAATTAAGAGTAACACATTAAAAACTAGTAATAATTTCTTCTGTTTTCTAAAAAGTTACTGATATCTAGTTGGATGGCTAGATGAACACCGCTTCAGTTCCCAAACTCATCCTCAGGGGCACCTCAGCCGTTCCATGATTTTGTTAAATTTCACCAACAGCTCAATTAAATAATTAAATAAATTGGTTTAAAAAGTCAGTGACAGATTGACTCGCTGTATGAGGTGTGCTAGTGGCCAAGTCAAAAAATACATGGCTGCACTGGACGGTCACTGCAAATACTGGGGTGATTTTAGCAGAGGTTCAGAAATGGCTAAGCTGACACACTTTGACAGGCATAATATCATAGTTTTACACCAACACGAGGATAATCTAAACATCATTTTCTTTGCAAGCCTAAGACTTTTGCACAGTACTGTATGTCACAGTATTTGTGCCATAAAGACCTCTTCATGTTACCTGCTGTCCCATAATGAACTGTTTAAACATGATTATCTTATTTAGTTTTTATCCCGTTTATTTATTCCAAGGCACACGGAATGTACAGAGTGTAATTAGTAATACAGTACTGTAAATATGTATAGAGTATATAATATACATTATCTTAAAATCCAAGGGGTTTGCATTGTCCCCCACAGTCACACTTTACTAGATGTCTCTGTCTCTTGTTATTATTCTTCAGTTATTCGGACAGGTATTGCACTCTTTGTGAAATGAATGGACACTCGAGGCACCTGACTTAAGTGAATGTAAAGCGCGCATACCAATATTCACAAATTAATTAAAATTTGCCCATAACGACATCTGGAAATGTAAGGGGTGTGTAAGAGGTGCCATTAACTCTAAATACTTAATATCTTGGTACAGCTGAAGTATGCTATTTTTGTAGCAATTAACAACATTAAACACAACTAGTGAAAGGGCTTCAATCACAAAGAATGAGTGCCATGCATTTTTGTCTGTGTAATGGACATCAGGAATTTGTAATAAAAAAACAAATAAAATATTGAAGGATTGGGTGTAGGCTAATGTTGATTTGGACCAAAAGTGTTGAAGTGCAATGAGCCTTGGCATTTCTGACCTTTTTTGCCCACATGATTAAGTCTGTGAGCTTAGAATTCTCTGTCCTCTGAGGCTGTAATACTTTTGTTCTAAGTGATATGTGGAGTGTTCCATTTATGAAGATTTTTTTTCCATATTTTTGCATTCCAAATTAAGTTTGAGTTAAAGAGTTCTTATAAAATTAGATGATGGTTATTTTTTTTTTAGTAACTTGTAAGGTTTGGTGAGTTGGGCCTCGGCCTGTCTGTCACGTTTAGTTTGTCCTTCGAATAGCCTTTCAGCTGTTTGCTAGTTTGTTAATCACTAAGACCTATTTCTATGTTGTCAATATCTAAAACAAAATGAGTTTCATCTATCCCCACCTTCATAATATTTGCATCAGATGTTAAAATTAGCAATGAAGATGAATACCTCTTACGCTCCATTTTGTCATATTCACTGAAAACAGCGTGACATTAGTATTGTATTATTTGTTAAACTGATAAGTTATTAATACAAATCTAACTTTTTATGCTCTGTTTTATTCCTTAAGTCATAAATTACAACAAGGAAGTGGGTGGTAAAATCGCTCTTTGTATATCCTGAAAAACAGTGATTTTGCAGATATGTTATTTTCTTAGCTGACTATATGCAGAGTGTTGTTGTTTGATTTCCTCACACTATGTAAGTAATATTTGTTCTTTTTTTTGGGGGGTGGGGGAGTGAATTGACCACCCACTTATAATTTCTTCTTTTTCCCCTCATTAGCACCGAAATACATTCCAAAGGATCCTTGCCTGGGTGAGAGGGCGGCAGACGGTCCTTGCCCGGGTGAGAGGGCGGAAACGGTCCTTGCCTGGGTGAGAGGGCGGCAGACGGTCCTTGCCCGGGTGAGAGGGCGGCAGACAGTCTAAAATGTTAGTGTAAAAGTGAATGGCAAAGCTGTTTTAGTGTTTTCTGTAATATGTTGCCTATTCACTGTGTTGCAGGTGTTGGATGTCACTGGGGAGGAGGTTGCTCTGCTCCTGCATATGCTGTCCAGTCTGAAGTGTCTGCATGCAGTCAGCAGGCGTCGGCAGCTGCTGGAGCTGCTGGCCGAGGAGGTGGATGTGGAGCAGGAGCTGGGTCCTACTGCTGCGGGGCTCCCACCTGGCTCTGCCCCTTTGCTCCATGAGTGAACCCGCTCCTACACTCAGCTCGGCAGCTCCTTATCCGGTCTACCCACCGCAGCTACTTAAGCTGCAGTAAGCTCACACTACACAATTTTAGCCATGGTTTTGCACTCACCAGTATTCGATGTTTACAATCAATCTTTGTGGTGGCAAATCGGCACTCGATCACAATGTATGAACTGTTTAAAAATGCGACGCGACTGAGTCGCCGATATGTCGCATGCTAAATATCTAGACTTTGTCAACGACTTCAAATCATGTAGGTGTGAAAAGTGTCAAAGCTACAGCCAGTGAGAGCACAAGACACGGGGTGAGGCGAAACCCAAGGATGAAGTTAAGAAAGGTGTTAAAAAGGTGTAAAAAGTTCAGTTTGTTTAGAAACTGTTCTTAGTTCTCAGGGATATGTACACATATGATTTGAATATATACACACACACATCTTATACATAATGTAACCTCCTGAGACCCGACCTATTCATTTATGTCCATTGTAGTGGACATTGTATTTTTGCATTTATTTTTTCACTGATGTTGGGAAACGTATTTATTCTTGTTGTGCACTAAAGTGGACATGCTGTGAAATTAAAATAAGAATACATTTGAAAAAATCTAAATTGTAAGATGTCTTATTTCCTCCAAAGACAAATAACCTACAATTGAAGGACACTTTTTTCCTTGGGTCTACCCTAAACATGAAATCCTTACTGGGCCATAGTAAACGTGAAACCCTTACCGGGCCATAGTAAACGTGAAACCCTTACCGGGCTATAGTAAACGTGGAACCCTTACCGGGCTATACTAAACGTCAAAAGCTTACCGGGCTATACTAAACGTCAAAAGCTTACCGGGCCATAGTAAACGTGAAACCCTTACCAGGCTATAGTAAACGTGCAAAACTTACCGGGCCATAGTAAACGTGAAACCCTTTGTCAGGTGGAGAGAGAGAGAGAGAGACGGGGATCCAGATATGCGAGACGAAGACTTTATTGAGGAACAGCACAGAGTAATGACTGAACCCGTCTCAGTTCCGTGAACGGAACACGAGCAGTTGGTGTCCAGGCGAATAGGTCGGCAGCCAGAAGGTCGGTCCCACGAAGTTACACAAGACGGGGTTACGGAAGGGAAGGAGGACGGAGGACGCCGGGCTCAGCAGGGCAGGTACATTAGGGACGGGAGCTGGACTGCGGAGGAAAGGCGTAACAGGTAAGGGTGCAACAAAAGGCAAACAGGGCAGGTACGGGAAATGAGGAAGACGTGATCGGGGCGCAGGTCTGTTGGGGTGAGTTTGATGGAACTCGACTTTCAGGACAGGATCCGTAACTTCGGTCGCCTGTACCAAACTCCGTTCATCAGGTCCGGCCCCATCCCAGTCGACCAGGTACTGCAGCTTGCCCTTCCTGCGATGGGAGTCAAGGATGGAGCTCATAGTAGAGGAGGGTATGTCTGCAGGCACGGGTGGTGGGTCTTCCTCCGGCAGAACCCTAGGCCGTAGAGGGCTATACTTCACCGGCTTCAGGAGAGAGAAGTGAAAGACAGGGGAGATCCGATACACCTGGGGTAGTTGTAACTTCACTGCAATGGGCCCTACTCGACGGAGTATGCGAAACGGCCCAATGTATCTAGCCGTGAGCTTACAGCACCCGGGGATCCTAAGGTTTTTTGTTGACAGCCACGCTAGTTGTCCGACCTGGTAGGGAAATCCTGGACGACGATGTCTGTCAGCTTGAGCCTTTGTGCGAGCCACCTGGGAGCGTAGTGCTCTTTGAATAGCCCTCCAGGCTCGTCTGCTTTCTTGGAACCAGGCCTCGACTCTGGGTACTGTCCCCGTAGGGGCATCCCATGGGAACAGTGGAGGCTGGAACCCTAGAATGCACTGGAAGGGAGTGAGATTAGTTATGGGGCTTACCCGGGAGTTGAGTGAGTACTCTGTCCAGACCAAATGCTGGGACCATCGGGTAGGATCTGTCCGCACCAGCAGTCTTAAAGCTTTAGGCACTTCTTGATTTGTACGTTCAGCCAGGCCGTTGGACTGCGGGTGGTATGCTGTGGTCAATCTAAGAGTGATGTTTAGTTTGGCACAGAACTCCTTGAAAACACGGGAGGCAAATTGGGGCCCACGGTCTGAGACGATGTCCTCGGGGATGCCTGTGAAGCGGAAGAGTTCCTGGACAAGCATTTCTGCCAGTTCTACAGCTGAGGGCAACTTCGGGAGGGCGACCAGGCGGCACATCTTCGAAAATCGGTCCACTATCGTCAGGATAATGGTCTTACCGGCAGAACGAGGTAAGTCCGTTATGCAGTCCATCGCTCCGTGTGACCAGGGTCTGGATGGGACGGGCAGAGGATGAAGCAGTCCTGCTGGACGTTGATTAGAGGACTTACACTGAACACAGTCTGGGCAGCTCTCCACAAAGGCTTGAACATCTTTGCACCAACCAGGCCACCAATAGCAACGTTCCACTAGTTGTAGGGTGGCGGTGATCCCGGGATGGCCCGTCCCTGGTTGAGCATGAATCCACTGCAATAGATTAGTACGATGGGAACGAGAGACAAACAACTTACCCGGAGGACATCCGGCCGGGGAAGCACGATTCTCATTATCCACTCTGATAGACTCCTCTAAGCCCCAGGTGATAGATGAGACGAAACAGGCTGGATTAAGAATGGGTGAAATGGGATCCTCGCTCTCAGGGGGGGTCGTACTGTCACGATAAGGCGTCAGCTTTTATGTTCTTTTTCCCTGGAATGTAACTCACACGAAAAACAAAACGGGCAAACCATTGCGCCCAGTGGGCTTGTCGTGCGTTGAGTCACTTAGCTAATTGCAGGTACTCTAGGTTTCGGTGATCTATTAACACCACAAAGGGGTGTCTGGCCCCCTCTAACCAATGACGCCATTCTTCCAGGGCTAATTTAATGGCGAGGAGCTCTCGATCACCCACCTCGTAGTTTCGCTCGGCCGCCGTGAGCTTGCGTGAGTAGTAGGCACATGGGTGACGTCTCCCCATCTCGGGGTTGCGCTGTATAAGGACGGCCCCTACTCCGGCCTCTGAGGCGTCTACCTCAACCTCGAAAGGCAGTTCGGAACGAGGTTGGGAGAGCACAGGAGCCATACAGAAGGCTTGCTTGAGACGTTCGAAGGCTTATACCTCCACAAGTATCCAGGTGAGCCGGGTGGGTTGCCCACGGGTGAGCGAGGTGAGAGGAGCCGTGTTTTGGCTGAAGTTCCTGATGAATCTCCGATAGAAGTTGGCGAATCCTAGGAACCGCTGCAGCTCCTTCAGGATGCAGGGTTGTGGCCAGGCTTTTATGGCGGAGGTCTTCTGCTCGTCCATGGCCACCTCTCCAGGCTGGATAACATACCCTAGGAACTTTAGTTTTTGTTGGTGGAAGTCACACTTTTCCCCTTTGGCATACAAGTGATGTTCCCGGAGTCATTGCAATACCTGTCTAACATGCAATACGTACGCCTGCCTGGAGGGGGAGTAAATTTGGATGTCATCAATGTAAATGACTACGAATCGGTCGATCATGTCATGGAAAACTCGATTCATAAAAGATTGGAAAATAGAGGGGCTGTTAGCCAACCCATACAGCATCACCAGATACTCATACTGCCCCCTACTGATGATAAAGGAAGTTTTCCATTCGTTGCCTTCTTTGATTCTAACAAGGTTGTAAGCACTCCTTAGGTCTAGCTTGGTAAAGATAACTGCCTCTCGTAACTGCTCCAACGCAGACGGGATCAGGGGAAGAGGTTCTCTCCTTTTTACCATTATAGTGTTTAAGGCCCTGTAATCCACCACAGGCCTGAGACCCCCATCCTTCTTTTTTATAAAAAAGAAGCCTGCCGTCACTGGGGAGGTAGATGATTGGATTATCCCTTGCTTCAACCCCTCCTGGATGTAGGTATCCAACGATTCTTGTTCTTGCAAGGAAACCGGGTACAATCTACTAGTGTTGTAGTTCTTGAGCCGGTCTCGAGACCAATTTTTTGTGGTCTCGGTCTTGTCTTGGTCTCGACTCTATTTGGTCTCGGACTTAGCGGTCTCGATGGGATGCGGGAAAAAAGAGAAAACT